GCCAGGATGTGCCCGACAGCTGGCCACATTCGCGCACAACCGCTTGAGCTTTCTGCTGCTGCTTCGCGACTCGACTCCCACTATTCAGAGCATACTCACGCAGTTCCGCAAGCTGGACATCCATCTCCGATACCCCTCTCATGCTTAAGTCGGATCGCCCTTTGCCTGGCAAGCGTAGCATGCACCTCGCTGGCAGTGTCCACGATCGCCTCGTGCAAGAGCTCAGCAAAGAAGTGAGAGACCTGTAGCGAGCAGAGATGGCAGGCATGCGCGCATGTAGTCAGTCGGGCGCGAGATTCCTTCTTTTCATACGCACATCCACGCTTTCAAAGGGAAGCGCAGGGCTTCGTGAGCAAGACTCACCAAGGCTGTCTTGGCATCGCTCGATTCTCTTCGATGTGCGCCGTTCGATGCTGCTGTCGCACTGTGACTTGCAGTAGCACCACCCGCACCACCGGACGAGCTGGTAGCCCAAGAAGAAGTCCTTCGAGCCACCTTGGACGGCATTGCGCCTCTGCCTGCTGGATGCAAGTGATGGCGGATCGGATGCTTGTGCAAGGCCCAACACCCCCCCGGAACTATTCCGTCCGGCCAACTCCTCGACGTGTCAGGTCCTGGCAGCGTTGGGTATTGCCTTTCTATTGTTCTTAGGCAAGTAGGATGACCAAGTCTAAGTACGACTCTGTGCTTGCACGTTTGACAATAGCAACGGATGGATGGGCATGAGTGCGAGGTTGGGAGTGCGAGTGAAGTGGGGCAGAACGACACTTGATTCGTATATTCGGCTGAATCACGCACAAGCTGCTGCTGCATGCGTTCCAGCATCGCTGCTCATCCCTCCGCGGCGTCCGTACCTTTATTTGCCTGCATGCGCACCTCGCGCGCGCAACAGCAGCGGCATGAGCAGCTAGCTAGCAGCAGCACATGTGGAGCAAAGCGCCTACTTAGGCTGCCCGGCCAAACGCGCGACTCGCCACCAGAACATGCAACACACAGCGCAATCTTCGAACCCAAGATTGCACGAGTTGAGCCCCCTTGACGGGACTTTTTGTCCAACTCACCAGCCAGCCAGGTCGATAGAAGGTCACTCAGGTCGAGAAAGACCTCGATTGAGGCCTCCAAATCGTCATTCATTCCAGCGTGAGTGCCAATGTCACAGGCACGCATGACCAGTGTGATCATCATCATCATCATCATCATCATTGCTAGCAGTGCAAGCAACGCATGCAGAGCAGTGCGTGGTACCCAAAGGCGAAAGCATAGCCTACCACCACATATGCAGGGGTGGTCTGACGCAAATCGTTGATTGAAGAAAAGAGGTGCTGTGTGTGTGATGTGTGAAATGCGTAAAGATGTGCAACGACGGCGTGCTGAACAAGGCGGCGAATGCGTGATGCAGGGTTCTGGTTGTAGACGCAGAAACAAAAGTCGCAGGGCCAGCTGCCCGGAGGGGTATCTTGTCTGCCAGGCCCCATTCGGCAAGTGCAGAAAGGGCGAAGCAAACGTGCAAAAGTAAGGCCACATCCGCATACTTGCGTGAGAGCGATGTGTTGCCGCTTCAGGCTGCCGTAGCAGCAGCCGAGTTGAGCCTGACGCGATTTTGCAGGTTGACAATGGCATCATACGGATTGGTATCTTGCGCATTCTCCTCCCCTTCATCTTCAAAGTATTCTGAGAATTCCTTCTCGTCAAAGAGGACAGGAGAGTGGAGAGATTGTTGCGCCACCACAGGCACGGCAACAGCTCTTCTGATTTGCGACTGCTGTTTGAGCCAAAAGGAGCGATCTCCCGCGCCTCCTCGCAACGTGGACATGGACGCATCAGCAAACGAATCATCCTCCACCTCCTCGATCGCATCCATCTCAATGTCCGAATCCTCTCTCTCCGCCACTTCCAGCTCCACCTCTTCGCCATTCTCTCCGTCCATCGCTCCTCGAGCTTGCTTGCGATGCTTCAGGTATCGCTGAACGACGATGGGCGCCAAGCTGACCAAGCTCAGCAGCACGAGCCTCGCAATGGTCGTGGGCGTCCAGAGGTGTTCCGCAATCGCCGCCGCACCACTCTTGGCCTTGTGTGCTACCATAGCAAGACGGGGATGTTCGGCACTGCCAGGCAGCTTCGCATCGCTAAATCCTCCAGATGCTAGTGTGTCTACCAAAGTCTCGCTAGAGCCCGTCGGCAAGGCTTCCATTGCCTCCAACAAGAGCACGCCAATCGAGGCGGTCGTAAAGTTCCAGCCAACGCTGCCGACGGCCAGAGTGACTGCGTACGGAAGCAAAGGCACGCCAAGGCAGCCGCATGCCAAGTTCATCGCGCCGTACGGCACGATGGGCAGCACCCTGAGAACCAAGAGATAGCTCCAGATATTGCTATTCGCTCCCGCAGCTGCAGCAGTCGCTTTGGCGATCGTCGATGAGCGCCTGCTGTGACCCCTCCACGAACCTCCACGCCTCGACACTCTGCCGCTCGAGCGTCTCGCCGGAGTTTTGAGGTGCATG